CAATATTTTAATAAAAAATATAATTAAAACATTTTAGTAGAAAATCACCCAAGGGCCACATTAAAAGTCTTGGAGGGCCGGATCTGGCCCCCGGGCCTTATGTTTGACACCTGTGTTCTAGACGCTCTGAAAGGGATAAAACAAATCGTTTCTTCACTGTTCCTCTGGAAATGACTCATCAGGATCAAACAAGGGAATTATCGAAAAAAGACGCAGATTATAGCAGCAAAAATAAACCACGAAGAGATTTCCTATGGTACCATCAAGACATCTGAAGTTTCAAGGTATTTGCTTTTTAAATTTCGTAAGTTTCATAGTTTATTTAATGAAAGAAGCACATTTACTGAACTAAAATGTCATTAATTTATCCAGGAAAACCTGCACTAGTTTACGATTCAACGAACCCACACTGGGCTCCTGTGATCAACATGACGCACGAGTCGAAGAGTCTGTGAGCCGAACCTCGAAAGAATTGGCCATGAAAAGATCCTCGCGAACGTTAGAAAGATCCGCTCACAAAAAATGATTAATTCTAGAAGACAAAGTTGTGCATAAACAAGACAATAAAGAAAACATGGTCCTACGACGAGTGACATGTTTATATGTGCTGGAAGATACAGTTTCTACTGCCACTCACACTGCAAATGTTTTCTTTTTACATTTTAGTTCAGTAAATGTGCTTCTCTCATTAAATAAACTATGAAACAATTTAAATAGCAAATACCTTGATGAAAGTGACGAGAGTGTGTCTTGATGGTACCACAGGAAAACGGTTTATGTTCTCTAACCATAATCCGCGTCTTTTTTCGATAATTCCCTTGTTTGATCCTGATGAGTCATTTCCAGAGAAACAGTGAAGAAACAAATCATTTTATCCCTTTCAGAGCGTCGAGAACAACCAAATACACAACAAAACCTGCCCATGTTTCTCCGATGCTGCTGAAGTCAATGACATAGTGTTGCCCGGTGTCATGGCGGCGTAGGTACCGTTGCTATAGGGACACGTGACTGTGCAAAGCCTCTATAGGAAGTGCCCTACTGTGTTTTTAAACTGCATACATTTTCAGTGGAATCATTTGGATAATTTCAGTCCTGGAACAGCCTCCTAGCCGGGCTGGTGCCACCTAGTGCCTCCACTCAATTTGATTTCTCTCCAGCGACTAGGTCAGGAATCAGAATACACTAGATGGTTTGCAAGAAAGTTGTAGACCGCACACCGGCCAATCAGCAAAGAGCTGTGAAGCCATGACGTCAAACTCAAGCGCCTGTGTGGGTCCCTTTTGTGGTACAGCACAACAGTAAACAAAGCGTCGAGATGGATGTAGACGAAGACAGACATTCTGTGTTGGCAACGATTCCCGAGGTCAAGGATTAAAAGTTGGAACAAAGAGAATGTTTGGTGAATTTTATCAAGGGGAAAGACGTTATTGTCCTTCTTCCTACGGGATTTGGGAAAAGCTTAATATACCAGTTAGCCCCGTTATCGGCGCATTACATACGTCACGACCAAATAGCAGCGACTGGTTAAATAAAAAATGTACCTGCCTCCCGTTGCGCGAACGAATCCTAATGCTGCGAGGTCAGACGGTTTCAACGAACTGAAACCGGCTGATGAATCAGGCTACCAATCTCCAGCGAACTAAAGAAAGGTAAAAGGTAGTTGTTAATGTAAAAACTACGGCTTCCTGACTAGGGGTGTGCAAAAATACTGAAATATTGATATATCGTATCTGTTAACCCTCTCCAGGCAGGCGTTGCAGATTTGCAACAGCTAAATTCCAATTACCTACTTACTCCACATCCATATTTTATGAGCTTTTTTTACTCAGGAGCCTTTTCTCCCATCCATGCTGATAAACGTGGGCGATGCAGACTGTGTAAGAACGGCTCCACGCAAACGGTCTGCCAGAAGTGCAAAAAACTTTTTTTGTTCACAAAGGATAAAAAAGTCAGGATTGTATATTACTACCCCATATTATAATTTTCCCCAAATATCAGATTTTTCCTGATACTAAAAATTAATTTGAGCCTGAGAGGGTTAATTTGATGATACAGTATCGATATCATGGGCTTCTGTATCGGTATATCGCCAAGAGTATTTTTAGGTATATTTTACTAAATTATTTTGTATAAGAGCTGCAGTTGTGTTGACATTTTCACTGTTTTGAGTAAAATGGTAATTTTTCATCTTAACTTTGCACAAACTCAGTGGATTTAGTATCACAGCCATGATTTAGTTTTTGTTTATCACTGAACCAGATTAAATTGATTTTAAATATATCTTATCGAATTGTATTAAATCAAAAGTGCGCTGTATCGAAAAACGTATCGTATCGTGGCCTACGTATCGAGGTATGTGTCTTATTGAGAACTTCTTAATGATACTCAGCCCTATTCATGACATCACAAGGTGGAACAGAGCATTTTGAGCTTTGGAGATGGAGACAAACTGATAATAAAAAGATTTCTGCCAGTTGTAACCCAAGTGTGAACACTGTGAACTAGAACTACGACCGAAAAAGTGATTAAAAATAAAACAATGAAGAAAACTTGAAGAGTTTATTAGAATTTTAATGTGGACAAAACGAAAATTAGACTAAACCTTGATTGAAATGGGACTGTACTATTAAAATAGGACAAAAGACGACATTATGGGTTTAACCAAAGACTTAATAATGACCACACACATTTACTGGAACAATACACGGATTTAGCAGAACAAAAGTACGCCTGTTTTAAAAAGAAATGTGTTAAATAAAAGGGCAGTCATCTGTAAAAACATGTGTGTTAAATATCAATTATTATGGCAAAAATATATGTATAAAGTTAAGGTTTTAAAAATGGAAAATTAAAGCAAGTCTCAACCAAAACTACATTAGAACAAAAACTAGGATATAAATGTTTTTTTTACTACTGGGTCTGTCAAAATCTTCTTCTCTGAGTGCAAAATAAACAAGTCAAAGAATTTCAGTTTTTTACATCATTGTTGAAAAGTTTCTTGGTTTTATTTTCAGCTCTTCGTCTGAAATTTTCCCATCCTCCTATTCGAGAGTCAAGAGCTTTTATTGAATTAATGTCAAGGTTAATTAAACGCCTATCTCCTCCGCTCAGCCTCTTCTCTGCTACTCATCCTTCCCTCCTCGCCTTCTCTCCTTTATCTGCTCTGTCTCTCTTTCACTCTCTCTTTTCTGTCTATCTTTTGTTGCCTCTTTCACTCTCTCTTTTCTGTCTCTCTCTCTCCGTCTCTCTCTGAATTTCTCTTTCTCTCCCTCTTTCTCCCTTCCTCCCTCTCTATTGCTTTGTCTCTGTCTTTCATTCTGTCTCTCTCTGTCTTTCTCTCTCTCTCTTTCCTCGCTGTCTCTCTCTCTTTCTCTCTCTGCTCTCTCTGTCTCTTCTCTCTCTCTCTTTCTCTCTCTGTCTCTCTCTCTCTCTCTCTCTCTTTCTCTCTCTCTCTCTTTCTCTCTCTGTCTCTCTCTCTTTCTCTCTCTGTCTCTTTCTCTCTCTGTCCCCCCATCCCCCCATCTCCCTCCCTCGCTTTCTCTTTCTGTCTGTCGCTCTCCCCCTCTCTTCTCTCTCTCTCTCTGTCTTTCTCTCCCCCTCTCTGTTTTTCAATCTCTCTGTCTTTCTCTCCCCCTCTCTCTTTTTCAATCTCTCTGTCTTTCTCTCCCCCTCTCTCTTTTTCAATCTCTCTGTCTTTCTCTCCCCTTCTCTCTCTATCTTCCTCCCTCGCTCTCTCTGTTTGTCTGTCTCTCTCTTTCCCTTCTCTCTTTCTCTCCCTCTCTGTCTCCCTCTCCCGCTTTTTCTTTCTGTCTGTCTCTCTCTCCCCTCTCCCTCTGTCTTTCTCTCTTTCTTTCTCCCTCTGTTTCTCTCTCTCTCTCTATGTGTGTGTCTTTCTCTCCCCCTCTCTCTATCTGGGTCTGGTCAAGTGGTAACGGAGGGAAACAGGGGCAGATTTTTTACATTCAAATGTCTCTTATTCAGAAACTAGAGGAACTATTGAAATAAGTAAAGTATCAGAATGTAGGAAAGAGTTACACTCCAACAGGGTCAAGTTAAACCTGTGATATTCTTTCAAGTTGTTGACAAAAAATTTAA